TCATGGATTGCCCTCGCATGCGTACGCATTCGCACACGAGGGCAAGTGCAGAAGAAACTGAATACCTGAGCCAACCCAGACCAGAGGAGAGAGGCTCATACTTGTGTGCAGTTGTTTGTGTGTTTTTCTGTGTCCTTGACGGACCGGTGACGATGGTAACGACCACGCTAGTAGCGCCGGCACCTTTCAAATTAAGCTTCATTGTACTCGAGCACTTTTTGCAATACTGCTGTTTTTTCAGAAGAGTATTTGGCGAGCATACGTAGCTTTCGATAAATTCTCTTCGGGCCGTTACAATTATATAGGGAGGGGTACAAATTAACATGCTGGTAATTATGTTATCACAAAAACGCAAATTAGTCATGGGAATAGGGGTGGGGGGCGTGGGGTTGATAGTAATCAGCTGCTTGCAAGTTGATGCTGTTTTTGCAGAAAAATTCATTCTTAAAGCAAATTGGAGGGTTTAGTGTGGAATCTCCGCTTCTGCTTAGGCTGGACTGTCCTTACTAGTTTAAGTCAAACTTATGATCTAAAAGAAATTTATTGGATAAAATGCAGGGTATACATGGTTGAACCGATGCGGCCTAGCCATTACAAGTCTTTGTTACCTATCATTCAGTCCCAAAAATGTGTTACAAAGGATTATTTTACAGATATTTTGGAAAAACGTGGAGTGCGTATGCACTTCTTCAAGCTTGCGCTACAAAAACAAAGTGTATAAAATTTATATATGAGCATAAGCTTGTTTGTTCAAAGATCGATAAAAACAACTCAGCTGACTATTAGGGCACAATTATTGTTCACGCTCTAAAAAAGTGAACAGTTTTCTGTCACGCCGAAAATCCAATCTTTTGAGTTTGTTGTTGTGCAGCTTCTTTTAGCTGACTTGATGTTTAAATAATGTATATCTCAATGTATTAATAGCAGTGCCTGTCGTCACTTTAGACTATAGGTTGTTTTTCCTCATTTTCGTCAACATTCCCTTCAACAGATTCGATGCCTGTAATTCTATTACTGTGCATTCGCATCCCCCAAGTACAAAGTAAAAAAACCATATGGAAAATGAAACTCAACGACTAATAAGTAGCCTCTGAGTCAAGGGCAAGGTTTTCCTAATCTGGGTTCGAAGAGGACATCAGCAAGTGGTTATGTCGATGTGCTTACTTTCGCCGGTTCCACCACTGACCTGGAGGCTTTACGCCGGCCTTCGGTCTGGGCGTAGGGCACTGTGGTAGTCCTTTGCCATACTTTTGCGTGTACGCAACTTTTTAGCACACTTACTGAACTTTCATTTATGTATATTTGTTTACGTTCGTACATTAACTGTTACGCACAAGACTTCAAATGATGTAAGCTACTGTATCATTAACTGATATTTGGAAAATCCGTTTCTGGTAAACATATGTTCTCAGCAACTCTTCATCAGGCCAAACATTTGCAGGGATAATGAAAGCTGTACAAAACAATTAAAGTGTAGAAAAATCAATAACTGTCTGACTTAGGCGCCGATTGGCCACTACGGACTGTCAGTCTGCGCAAGTAGGCGAGATCGGCGTGTTGGATGAGCGACTGACACTAGTGGGTGGGGGCGAAGTGCGATCGCCACCTGGCGTCAGTGTCGGCCACGGAAGTGCAAGGGCTTGTGTCAGCGTCTTCTGACAACACAG